TACATGGGCTCTGGGATGAGGAAGATAACAATGGCAGATTTATCCACAAATTATTTGTACATGTATTTTAGAATTCCCACATTTTTTTGTTATTGATTCCTAATCTAATGTCTTTGTTGTCAGAGGAACTCATCAAGCCAATTACACCATTTGCTTAAAAAGTTAACTTTAGGGCCTGGGATTTAGCTCAGTGGTGCCTCCAACTGCTTCGTAAGCGCAAGGTCCAGAATTTGATCCCCAGTACCAAAAAAAAAAAAGTTGACTTTAAATTTGGATATTACAGTTAAAAATAATTATTTGTGTTAGTTATTCAGTTCATAACTATAAAAGTATATCTAAAAGGGCTGGGGATTTAGCTCAGTGATGCCACACCTGCCTTACAAGTGCAAAGTCCCGAGTCCGATCCCCAGTACCGAAAACACACACACACACACATTTATTTATATTATGTTCAGATTCCTCAAGCTTTCTTGCTTTAAATTCTTTTAAAGTTGACTTTGTAAATTTACCTTGCTTTCTGTAAGTTTCCTACAGAGTATAAAAAAGTGTCTACAAAAGAGAAATACATTACTTTATTGGCCTCATAGAAATTCCTGTTATGAGGCTTAAATGAGACAAAGACATAACAATTTTATTTATTATTTTACAAAGTATACTTTTTATTCTGTGTGCTAAGTGTACAAAATATCCCACTTCCCCTGAGAAGTATCACATCTAAAATACACTCAGATGACCACCAAATATTAAAACATTCTAGGACGCTGGGTAAGTGGATTAAGTAGAAGTAAATGCAACTACATATTCTCCAAATTTCCATTATAATATATCACAAAGACAAATGTTTGGATTTCTTTTTCTTTTTTTGGTACCGGGGATGGAACTTGGGTCCTTATACTTGCAGGGCAGGCAGCAGAACCACTGTGCTAAATTCCTGGCCCTGGATTTATTTTTCAATTCAGAAGTCTTCTGGCTGTTCTGCTGTGAAGGGCCTGAGAGGGGAAAGCGTGATCAGGTTCCCATCTGGGCAAAGTGGTGGCTGCAGGTCAGGTCTGGTGAATCAAGAAGGTGGTATTCAGTAGGGGGACTTTCAGTGTCAAATAGTACCGACTGAGAGGTTTTAGCTGCTGCTTCTTGCAAGATGTTATTTTGTGATGGCGAATTTTTGGGGGGACTATTCATCAGAATATCCTGTGCAGTAAAGGAAGAATTCAGTTCCATTCCTTCCACAACACCCGAAATTTCCTCTTTTGAGGGGCAGGGTACCGGGGATCGAACTCAGGTCCTTGCGCTTGTGCAGCAGGCAGTGAAACTACTGAGCTAAATCCCTGGCCTTAAATTTTCTTTTTTTTTTTTTTTGGTACCAGGGACCTTGCACTTGCAAGGCAGGTGACAGAACCACTGAGGTAAATCCCAGGCCCTCTTCTTTTTTATTAGTCATATCATCTGCTACTCCACCAGCAAGAAGATACAAGCTCATTGTTTCATGGGATAAACACTCCATATTGAAGTTTGTCTTATTTATATCATGGTTCATTTCAATTAAATCTTGTAATCCAGGACACTGAGCACCTTCTACTGTGTTGTTCCTGCTTTCAGGAATATTTGAAAACAGTCTTATCACCAAAAGACATGAAGATTTTAGCACTTAACACAAAGCATACAACATTGTTTGAGTCATTTTTTTTATTACTATATTTTCAGATCCTAGTTCGCCACACAGTTGGAATTTTAAAAATATTATTTCTGGGTCTGGTCCTGTTGTTGAGTGGTAGAACACTCTTTAGCATGTTGGAGGTCCGGGTTCCATCCCCAACACAACCAAAAATGAAAGAAAAAGAGAAAGAGAAAGAGGAAGGAGGGGAGGGGAAGGAAGGAGATGAGAGGGAGGAAGGGAAGAAAGAAAAGAAAAAATAGGAAAAAAAACCCACTTCTGCAGTATTTTCCCTTCCTTGTGTAATAACTGTGCCACTGTACCAAAACATACCTTTTGCATGTGCAGTGCTTGGGTTGGGACTCGGGTATGCTGTTATGGTTTATATCTAGATGTTTTACCACAGCTTCATGTGCTCTTAGGTGGGGCTTTTGGAAGGTCATTGGATCATGGAGGCATAATATTCATCAGTGGATTAGTGAAGACCAGGCATGGCCTGGTCTACCTCCTTCCTTCCTCCCTTAATCTCATGCTGCTTCCTGCCTGTCATGCCATTTGCAACTTTCCTCTGCAATGCCCTTCTGCTGTGCTGCCTTGCCGTGGAGCCAGCCTACTATGGACTGAAACTTTTACAAACTGTGAGCCAAAGTAAACCTTTCCTCCTTTACGTTGTGGGTGTCAGGGACTGTTTCTCAGTGACCAGAAAGTAAGACACATGCTGCTCTGATCTCAATCACTGAGCTATTTACTTAGCCCATCTTATTTTGTTGTTGTTGTTTTTTTTTTTTGGTACCAGAGATCGAACTCGGGTCCTTGCGCTTGCAAGGCAGGCACTGAAACCACTGAGCTAAATCCCCGGCCCTGCCCATCTTATTTTGATTTGTTTGTTTTTGCAGTGCTGAGGACTGAACTCCAGGTTTCGGGGTGCCAGGCAAACAATCCACCGAGCTACATTCCTAGCTCTTTTCTTATTTTGATACAGTGTCTAAGTCCCATGCTGACCTGGAGCTTGTCATCCTCCCACCACAGGCTATAGAGAAAGTAGCTGGGATTACAGGTTGGCGAATCCATGCACAGCTCCATTATCTCTTGATGCCAGAAGGTTCACTGTAATTTAAGAACTTGACTCAAGTAAAACACCAGAAATCTGCCTCAAATAATAATGTTCAGATAATAGTTGACATAGTTTTTTTGTTTTTGTTTTTTTGGTACCGGGGATGTTCAGATAATAGGAAAGCAAGGCTTGTCAAACTATAATTTAAGAATTTTGGGGCTGGGGATTTAGCTCAGTGGTTCTGTCGCCTCCCTCGCAAGTGCAAGGACCTGAGTTCGATCCCTGGTACAAAAAAAAAAGAATTTTGAACTGTAAAAGCAATTTTGAAAATTATGAGGAGGGCTTCATAAAAGGCAGAAAGGGCTTTGTAAAAGGCTTTTCTTTGACATAGAACCCTGAGTGCTTGGCTTAGAGGAAACCTCCTTTACAAATGGGGCTGCTTCCCAGGTGTGGTGGTGCATATCTATAATCCCAGCACTCTGGGAGGCTGAAGTAGGAGGATTGCAAGTTCCAGTCCCCCTTGGTCAATTCAGCCAGACCCTGTCTCAAAATTTAAAATGGGGATGTAGGGTGGGGATTTAGCTCAGTGGCACCTCGCCTGCCTCCCAAGCACAAGGTCCTGAGTTCAGTCCCTGGTAGCCCCCCCGCCAAAATTAAAACGGGGCATGTGTGTATGTGTGTGTGTTGGGATGTAGCTCAGTTCGAAGGCCCTAGGTTCACTCCTCAGTACTAAAAAACAAAATAAAGGGCTGAGGATTTAGCTCAGTGGTGCCATGCCTGCCTGCCAAGGTCCTGAGTTTGATTCTCAGTATAAATAAATAAATAACCAAACAAACCTAAAATAATACCCATGAGTTCCTCAACTGAAAACTCAACTAACTAAGACCCTTTAGGCAATTCCATTGAAAAAAAGTTAAATCTTGTCTTTTACAACAGAGTCTCTTGACTTTGGCACTATTGACATTTTGGGCCACATAATTCTTTGTTTCGAGGAGCTATCCTATGCATTGGTAGGATCTTTGACAACATCCATAGCCCTTAGTCACTAACTAGATGCCAGTAGCAGCACACCCAGCTGAAGTACACTTTAGATAACTTGGCACCAATATGATCATAAACATAACCATGAATGGAAAACCCATTTTTGTTACAAGGTGATCAGCTAGATGATCCAGGACATACTGAAGATCATTTTTTAAACACTAGAAATGAAAAGAAAAGTGCTCTCTGGAAAAATTGTACCTCCTCCCTCAAGTTCAAAAAATATTACAAATCTTAGTCCTGAAAAGGACCATTTCTCTTATAGTCGAGAAGACTAAAATATCTCAATGATAAAGCAACTTTCCCACAATGCCATTACTACTAAGTAGGCAGATTAGGACAAGAGGTGCAGAAAAGTCTCATTCCAGAGTTTTCCAACAGGCCCACCTTCAAACACACGGAGCTATGAAATCCTCAACAAAGAGCATTTATATTTATTCTGTGGGATTTCAAGGACCATAATTAGGACACACAGGGCCCCAGTTTCAGCACAATATAAGGGAAAACATTCAACTACTAAGTCAAAATGTAGTTAAGGGAGAAAAAGGTAAGATAAACATACAAATGATGGAAAGAAACAATGAACACTAGTGGGCAAGATCTCTAGACTAAATCGCAGGCGACATCTGCAATAAGGTACAAAAAATCTCAGGCGACTTTTCCATCAATTTCCAGTGGAACTCAGAAACAGGACTGTCTCTGGCCTGAAGAAGTCACGACCAGCTCTGGAGTTGTGAAGATGAAAGAGGAACTCCAGCCCCAGGCAAGAACCAGAGCTTGCCAGGCAAGTAACAGCAGCCAACTTTCCGCAGGTTCTACTGGATCTTGTTCGAAATACTCAGCGGGCTCCAGAGGAAAACTACAACTCACATGAGCAACGCAAACAGAGGTGGGCGGGCACTTGCGCGCGGGGGCGGACCTGACCAATAAAGACTGTCGTTACAGCGAACAGTTTCGCCGCGTTTGTAAAAGGCCGCGGCAGACCAAGAGAGAAGAGGTGAGGGCGGTCATCAGCGAGCCCTGCGGGTGGGGGGCGCGGGGCAGGTAAGGGGGCCGCGGCAAGAGAATATGGGGCGGCGGTGGGACAGAGGTGTAGGGCTGGGGATCAGGCGAAGAGTATACCCAAGAAGCAGGCTGTAGGTGATGCTTGTGCTTGGGCCTACTTGGCACCGGAAGTGAGTGGGCACGCGTGGAGGATGCCGGGAAGCAGGTCCCGGGGTTGGCGGTCGGGTTCCGGAAGCCAGAAGGGAGCAATGAGTGCGTCTGCGAGACCCTGGCGCCCTTTTCCCGCTGTTCTGAGGAAGCTCGGAATTAATGTACCCTCCTTTCCACTTGTGGTTTGACAGAAATACAATGGATTCCAAATTCACTCTAAAATTCTTCTGGCTGAGACATTTTCGTCAAATCGGAGGCGGTTTCGTCTCTAAGATGGGTAAAATGGTATTTTCATAGGTTCGTGCGAGCAGTTACATGAGTAAATGCATAGAAAGGGCTGAACACGGAGAAGATTTGGGTACATACTTATTTTCGGGGTTTTTTGTTTTTGTTTTTTTTTTGGTAATGGGAATCGAACTCCGGACCTTGCGCTTGCCAGGCAGGCGCGGCGCCACTGAGCTACATTCCAGGCCCCTTGTGGTTTTTTTGAGACAAGGTTTCGCTATGTAGTCCAGGCTGGCCTTGGAACTCCAACACCAGTCCTCTTGCTGGGGAGACTTTTTGTAAACTTGCCAAGAAGAGACCTACAAGAAAGTTCGTTTCAAAGACAAGTTCTTTACAAGTTGTGCTGTTTATGCTTCCAACATAGACTCTGTACTAGGCCATGTCTTATTTTTTGGGGTACCAAGGATCGAATTCAGGACGTTGCCAGGCATGTGCGGCTCCACTGAGCTACATCCTGGCCCACTAGTACGTTTTAAAATTAAAGTAGTATAAAACTGTGAAATGTAAGACATCCTCCCACCGTCACTGTATATTTCCCAAGTCCCAAATCACTTCTGAGGCAACAGATTTGTATGTACAGAGAGAGGTCAAAAACTATGGTGTTTAAATTTTAAAATGTATTATAGTAAAAGACACATTACCATCAGTCCTCAAAATACTTCCCCTTGCTTCAAACACAGACCATTGTTTTGGCAATATGTCTTTTACTGCAGTTTTAAAAAAAAATTTAAACATTCACCCTACGTCTCTGTCCTTTATTAAAACCAAGAGGAGCATATACACAAAGTACTACAGCTGCTTTTTCACACACCCCCCCCCCCCCCCCCCCCCCCCCAGTACTGGGAAATGAACCCAGGGCCTTTACACTGAGCTACATGGTCTAGCTAAATCAGTAAGTTAACCAGGCTGGGCTGAATTTGTGATCTTTCTGCTGCATTCAGCCTCCCAGCACAGCCTTACAGGCATGTACCACTGCACCTGATTCTTAGTTGTTTACTGTTTACTGATGAGCTCTTAAACTCTTTTTAGTCTTTTGCAATTATAGACGGTCTGGCAGTGAGTCCCTCTTTGTGCATGTTGTACAGAGGAGGTGGAATTGAAATTGCTAAGGCAAAGTATGTACAGTATTACTTTTATTTATACCCTTTCCAAGAGAATATTGCAGTTTACACCAACAATGTAAAGTGTTTCTCCAGTCTCCTCATGAATGCAGTGTAACTCTTTTTTTCTTCTTTTCTTGTCATTTTGCTGAAATATTACCTTGTTTGCAGCACTGGGGATCCAGTCTCCAACCTTAAATATGCTACTCAAGTACTCTGCCACTGAGCTATACCCCTATTGTTGTTACTTTAATTTGCCTCTTGGTTACTGTAAAATTGTTTTTTCACACATTTAAAATAAATTTTCTTTGTTTTCTTTTTTATATCTCACAGTTGCCTTTTCATGCTCCCTCTCCCTTTCTTTTCTTTTCTATATATTTAGTTAGTTTTTGTGGTACTGGAAATTGAACCAAGTGCCTTCACACTAAGCTACATCCCAGCCCTTTTTTTTTTTTATTTTGAGGCAGGGTCTCTCTAAATTGCCCAGGCTGGGATGGAACTTGCAATCTTCCCACCTCAGCCTCCAAAACTGCTAGGATTATTGGCCTATGCTGCCACATCCCACTCCTTTCGGTTTTTTGTTTGTTTGTTTTTGTTTTTTGTTTTGTTTTGTGGTATCGGGAATTGAACTCAGGTCCTTGTGCTTGTGAGGCAGGCGGCAGAACTACTGAGCTAAATCTCTGGCCCTGTATCAGTTTTTTTTTTTTTAAGTAAAATGTATGTTTAGCCTAGGACCCAACACTTCTACTTGTAGATACCTGCTCAAGAAAAGTGAAGACAGGGCTGGGGTTTTATTTAACTCGGTGGGGCCTTGCAAGCACGAGGCCCTGAGTTCAATCCCTGGCACTGGAAAAAAAAAGAAAGAAAAGTAAAGTCATTTGTCCATACACAGAGTTAAACATTAATGTTCTCAACAGCACTGTGTTTGTTTTTGTTTTTGTTCAGGGACTTCACATTGAGCTACACCCCCAGCCCTTTTTATTTATTTATATTTTATTTTGAGACAGGGTCTCACAAAGGTGCCCAGGCTGGGTTTGAACTTTCAGTCTTCCTGCCTCAGGAATATAGGAGTGCACCACCATGGCCAGCAACACTGTTTATAATAGCCAACAAATGGGAACAGTCCAAATGTCTGTTGGCTGATCAGTGTATAAACAAAGTCTGATTTATCTATACAGTGGAATACTGTATAGAGGAAAGTACTGATACATGCTGCAGTCTTGGTTTTGACAAATGTCCCATGGTAATACATAATGTGCCACTATTGGTTAACATCTGAGAAAACTGAGGGCTATCTGGGAAGTTTGTTCTACAATCAGCAATTTTTCTGTAAATCTAAAATTCTGCATAAAGTTTATTTTTAAAAAGGACATTAGAAAAATTGGCAAAATCCAAATAAATTTTGTAGTAGAGTTAATAGTATTGTACCAATATTAAACTTTGTAACAAATGTCTCATAGCTGGATAAAGGGGATATAGGGACTCTATAGTATATTTGTAGCTTTTCTATAAATCTAAAATCTTAAAATATTTTTTAAAGTATGTACTTATGGGCTGGGGATTTAGCTCAGTGGTTGCGCTGCCTGTTGCTCAAGCGCAAGGACCTGAGTCTGATCCCCGGTAGCAAAAAAAATAAAATAAATTAAAAATAAAAATAAAAATATGTACTTATAATTTTGAAAGATACTCTTATGCTTTATATCTATATGTCTTCCTAAAGCCTTAGGTGATCATAAGGACCTTTGGGAGGTGATTGGGTTATAGGGGCATTGTAGCTGGCTTGATGTTAGGAGGTAGGACCTGGTCAGAAGAGGCAGGTCATTGTGAGCATGACCTGGAAGGTTATATCTCTATTCCTGACTCCTCCCTTGACTCTCTCTGGTTCCCTGATGCCATGCTATGAAGATCCTCATCTGTTCCTCTCTGCCATGCTCTCCTGCCTTGGAGCCAGCAGACTGTGGACTGAAACCTCTACAAAATGTGAGCCAAAATAAACCCCTCTTTCCTTAAGTTGTCAATGTGGGGTATTTTGTCCCAGCAATGAGAAAGGTGACTAAAACAGGTTTTAGTACCAGGAGTAGGGTCATTGCTGCAATGCTACCTGACCATGTAGTTCAAAGGCCTTTGAAACTGGCTCACAGGAGGATTTGGAAGGGTTTGGAGATGCTGGGTGGAGAAGCAGCCCTAGAATGTTGTAAGCCACACTCTATGGGAGATTATAATCAGAGCTCAGAAGACCTGAATGCTCATAGAAATGTAGATGATAAAGTCTAGGCTCAGGAGGTTTCAGTTGGGAATTCATTGGCAGTTGGACTTTAGGCCATCTGCGTTCAGGCTGAAATTTTGTCTACCTTATTCTCTTGAGACAAATGTCCAGAGGCTTTGTGGCAGACTGAGATTAAGGACAACAGATTAATCTGGCAGAGGAAATTTCAAGGCAGCCCAACATTCATGCTGTGGCATGGATACTGTCAAGCGCCTTTATCCCAAATGGCATAGCTGAGGAAGTTTCAAGTTTCACTAGAAAGGAAGCTCTTACAAAGTTGAGATCTGTAAAATTAGAACAGAGAAGAGCTTGGTTGCTGAAAAGATTACGATTTAAAAAGTCAAGCCAGGGATTTAGCTCAGTGGTTCTACCGCCTGCCTCGCAAGCACAAGGTCCTGAGTTCGATCCCTGGTACTAAAAATAAAAAGAAGTCAAGTACTTTGAGTCAGAACAATATGCAATCTACCTTGAGGGCATGGAGGAAACTGCAAGACTCTGATCTTTGGTCTGCTGAAGTGAAAGACTTTGCTTTGAAAAGAGAACCTTAAGGCCCTCTCCTAGAGAAGGGCTGCCTAGGGAATTTCCTCCCCAGGATTTGGTTCAATATGCTCAGCCCCTCAGGCACTCGGTCTTATGCATCCGTGATGCAAAAGAGCCTGGTTACTGCTGGTATGGGCAGCAGACCTTGGCATCATCCACATGGTGCTGGCTTTATGAGCATGCAGAATACAAGAGTTATGGGGTCATGGAGGTTTCTACCCAGATTTCAGAAAAAAGGCCTGAGATGCCAAGCAGTGTGCTCCTGAGAGGGCAGTACATGAAGTTGTGAAAGTGAAGCCAAAAGTGCAGTGGAGACCCCAGGAAGTTGGAGAAGTGAGGAGCCAGGAACATGAGATGTCTGAGGAAAGCTATAAGAATTTAGTAAAGCCAGCCGAAGATAAAAGCCATAAGGAATGTACCCACCAGCAATGCTATAGGTGCTGTAGGGGTTGGGCTACCCAGGCCTTTTGGAGGGTCTTTTTTTTTTCTTTGAGACAGAGTCTATTATGTACAGTAGTTCAGGCTGGCCATGAATTGTGTATAGCCCAGACTAGCCTCGAACTCATGGTGATCCTCTCCAGTGCTGGGAGTACAGGTGTGTGCCACCATGCCCAGCTGCCTTGCGGAATTTATATCTCACCACATTTTGCAACAAGTGCTGGACATGGAACTACAGTATTTAATGTTTACCCTGCTGGGTTTTGGTCTAACTTTGGTCCCATTCCTTTCTATCTCCCTTTTTTTCTCCTATTTGGAATGGGAATGTTTATCCTGTGCCATTGTATGTAGACATTGATTTTATAAGGACTCACAGCTAAGAATTTGCTTTGAGTCTCAGAGGAGACTTTGGACTTGGACTTCCCAGCAATGCTGAAACTATTAAGACTTTGGCAACTCTTAGAGATAGACTAAATGCATTTTCCATAACCTGATGGGCACGAGCCTTTTTGGGGCCAGGGTGGAGTATTATGATTTATGTTTAAATGTCCCCCAAGAGCCTCATGGAAGGTGACTAGATTATGGGAGTAGTATAGCTGGCTTGTGGTTAAGAGGTAGGGGATGGTTGAAAGAAGTGAGTCACTGACAGAATGGCTTGAAAGAGTATATTTCCCATCCTGGCTCTTCCCTTCATACACTGTGGTTCCCCTTGGCATGCCATGAGTAGCCTCTGCCATGCCGCTCTGCCTTGGAGCCAGCTGACTATGGATTAAAACCTCTACAAACTGTGAGCCAAAATAAACCTTTATTCTTTTTAAGTTGTGGCTGTCAGGTATTGTATCTCAGCGGCAAGAAAGTTAAACATTAACAAATTATCCATAATAAAAAACAGAAGAGAGGGCCGGGGATTTATCTCAGTGGTTCCGCCGCCTGCCTTGCAAGTGCAAGAACCTGAGTTCAATCTCCGGTACCAAAAAAAAAAAAAGTAGAAGTAATACCTAGAGCACCTTAAGGCTTCACTACAAACTAATGTTAAACCACTTCTTCTTTAATGAATAAGAAATCATTTTTTTCCAGTTTAATAATTTTTTTTCTTTTTTTGAGACTGGCTTTGAACTCGCTATGTAGCCCAGGCTAGCAGCGAACTTGCAGTGATCCTCCTGGCTTGGGCCCCCTAATGCTGGGATTATGGGTGTGTGCCACCATGCCAGACCACCAATATAATAATACGTTAAATTATCATCAAAATGAAACTGGAAGCTCAGAAATTAAAGGACTTGGTCACAAAGATAATTATGCTAGAGGGTAAACTAAATTATGTTTTTTGTTTTGTTTTGGTTTTTCATTCCTAGGAGTTGAACACAGGGCCTTTCTTCCCCCCCGGTACTGGGGATTGAACCCTAGGCCTTTTCACTGAGCTATATTTCTACCCTATTTAATTTTTTTTTTTTTTTTGGTACTGGGGATTGAACTCGGGACCTTGCACTTGCGAGGCAGGTGTAGCTCCACTAAGCTAAATTCCTGCCCCTACCCTGTTTAATGTTTTGAGACAGTCCTGCTAAATCACTGAATTCCCCAGACTCTGCTGGAATGTGTGATTCTCCTGTCTCGGCCTCCCTGAGTGCATGGATTAGAGTCATGTGCCACCAGGATCCTCTGTATTTTTACTTTGTAACAACATTCTCCTGAAAACCCATGTTTGACTGAATGATAGTACTTACCAATGAAGATCATTAAACTGGGAAGGCAATGTTCTATGAATAGGCTTAGTCTCTAGATTGATGGTTTTTAACTGGGAAAATTTTGCCCCTAAAGGGGAAAGAATCATCCCATCTTTGTGTAACTTTAATATTTTTTTTTGTTTGTATATAGACATGATAAAAAAGGAATAATAGAAGGAGGATAGATGTGATAAAGTAAATATGAAAAAATGTTAATTGTAAAAGCTAAAAACAAAGCCAGTGGCGGGTACATGGAATATTCATTCTACAATTCTATTTTTAATGTAGGGTTGGTATTATCAGAAGACATTTTTCTGTTTTGTTTTTTACAACTGGAGATGGGGGGAGTGTGCTATACTCATCTAGTGGGTGAAGTCCAGAGATGCTGCTAAGCAGCATCTTACAGTGCATAGAACAATCCCTACAACAAACACTGATCCAGCCCTAAATGTCAGTAATGCCAAAGTGAAGAAATTTTCCAGTAGATCTTACCTCTCAAAGGTTTATTTACTCAGCAGATACTGCTGTTGGAGATTGATTCATAGCACCAATGAAAAAGTGAGGATTTAAAAATTTTTTTAATTAAATTTATTTTGTGGTGATGGGGATTGAACTCAAGGCTTCACACATACTAGGCAAGACCTGTGCCACTGAGCTTACTTTATTGTTTTATCTTGCTTTGAGACAGGGTCTCACTATGTTGCCCATACTGGCTTCAAACTTGCAATCCTCCTGTCTCAGCCTCCCAAGTAACTGAGAAAACAAGCATGTGCCACCGTGCCTGGCAAAGTAGGAATTTTTAAATCATTCTCTCTCTCTTTTTTTTCAACTTTTTTTTCCTTTTTTGGTACCAGGGATTGAACCCAGGGCGTAGGGCTTGCTAGGTAGGTACTGCACCACTGATCTCCATCCCCAGCCATAGATAATTCTTATTTATATTTTTCAATTTTTAAATTGGTTGACTACAAAAGATATGGAGGGAAGATACTTTATCAAGATCCTCCTTTGGAATAGTGAAGGAACAATGTTAACAGCCAATTTAAAAATCATAAGCAGACAGTTTTCTTAAGAAAGCATTAAAGATGTTGAACTTCTATTAAAAATATGCATGCTGAACTGATACCTACAGCTTACTTTGCCTGAAAGTATAAAAGGAATCAATGAGGTCTAGGTTGTAGCTCAGTGGTTGAGGGCTCGCCCTGCCTCCATGAGGTCCTGGATTCACTACCCAGCACTGAAGAAAAAAAGAAAAGAAAAGAAAAAGAGGAATTCATGAATGGAAGAGGATTCATGAATGGAAGCAGGGAGAATAGACATGTGATAAATATGATAAAATGTTAATTGTAAAATCAAACCAGGGATATAGCTCAGTGCTGCAACACCTGCCTGGCAAACATGATGCCCAGAGTTGGATTCCTAGTACAAAAAAGGGGGAAGGGGGCAGGGATTTAGCCCAGTGGTACCACACCTGCCTTGGAAGTGCAAGGTCCTGAGTTCAATACCCAGTACCGCAAAAAAAAACAACAAAAAACCTAGTGGGTGGATACATGGAGAATTCACTTTACAGTTCTGTTTTTCTACATGCTTGGGAATTTTCACAAGATACATATTTTGTTTGGTTGGTTTGTTTTTTTGAGACAGGGTCTCTATATATAGTTTAGGCTGGACTTGGTCTCACTATGTAGTCCAGGCAGGCCTCAAACTCTCAGCAATCCTCCTGCTCAGCTTCCCAAGTGCTGAGATTACAGGCATGTGCCACCATGACCGGCTCATGATAAATATTGAGGGGGAAAATTGTAAGTAGAAATTCATACTCTTAGATTCTATGAGTTAGTGGAAACTGCATTGCTGATTTTTCTGGGTGACCTAAGGCAAGATACATATATATATGTGTATATACATATATATACATGTATATATGTATATACACATATATATGTATATATGTATGTATATATGTAATTTAGGCTTTTTTTTGAGGTGCTGGGATTGAACCCAGGACCTCATACTTGGTAGGCAAGTATTCTACCACTGAGCTGTACCTCCAGCCCTTTAACTTATCTGCAGAACAGTTGTTTAGCTTAAAGGAGATCCTCATATTGTGAAATTTAAATGAAATAATGGGAAAATACTTTAAAAAGCATAAGACACTCTAAAAATGTAATGTATTACTATTAGGAAAAGTGAGTATTCAATCAGTTATATACCATGGCACGAGGTGTTCTTGTCAATCCCCTTTGTAACAACATTAGCACTGTTTTATTTTCTTGTAGTTGGAAATACAAAACAGTGAACTATTTCCACAAAAATTTCAATCAAATATTTCTCAAATATGAAAGACTTAGATTTATATTCTGTTATTATTATTGCTGAGGATTTAGCTCAGGGCCCCATACATGCTATACGTGTTCTACTGAGCTCTGCCCTCAGCCCCTATTCTATCTGATTTCTAGGAGGAATCCGTCTTCATATAATTTTATTATTTTTTTCTTGTAGATGGCCAAGATCTCCACTTAAGGTGGTAGAAATCTTTAAGTGTGGAATATTGAGCAGGAGCTTTGCCATTGGCTGGTCAAGAAGGAAGAGGCAGAACGTCTGCATTGTTACACCATAGAGTTCAAACTTCAGAAGACTTGGGTTAAGCAGTATCATATACTCTGCAAATGATCATGTCTTTACCTATCCTCTCTGATCATCCCAAACTAATGAAATACGCTTTAGGTTTTATGAATTCAGATTACGCTGTTTTCCAGATGCCCTGGCAGCTCGTACAGGTAGGATTGGGTTGAGTTTTTTGGGGAATGGTAGAAAAGAACCCATCTTTCTTGTTTTCTAGTACTTGCTGTTTTATGTAAACATCTGTTCCCCATAAAAAATAGGTTAACCAGCCAGACACAGTAGCATGCACCTATAATCCTAGCTATTCAGGGGGCTGAGTCAGGAGGATCACAAATTTGAGCCCAACCTGGGTAATTTAACCTTGTCTCAAAAAATAAAATAAAAAAATGGCTGGGGATGTAGCTCACTGCAAAGGCCCTGGGTTCAATACCCAGTACTCCAAAAGAAAAAAAAAAAAAAGAAAGATTAGGTTAACCAACTTCAGTTGTTATATAGAATAGGTCTAATGTGGAGAAATACTTTGGTTAAGAAGCCCAAAGTATGAATAAATTAAAAAGCAAAATAAAAGATAGATAATAGGGAAATAGGTCTTTTTAAAATTTTTATTTTAATTTTATGGAGATAGATGTTTTGCAAATGAGAAGAGGACCAAGAGATGAAAGAGGGGAGGGCCAGGGATTTAGCTCAGTGGTTCCTCTGCCTGCCTCGAAAGCACAAGGTCCCAAGTTTGATCCCCTGTACCAAAAAAAAAAAAGTCATTTTTAACTTTGTGTGTGTGTGTGTGTGAATGTATAATCATGCTGATGGACTTGTTTTTCTAGGGCCTGTGAAAAATGGAACCAAACTCTCTGAGAACTAAAGTCCCAGCTTTCTTATCTGATTTGGGGAAGGCCACTTTGAGGGGAATCAGAAAGTGTCCCCGATGTGGCACATACAATGGAACCCGGGGACTGAGCTGTAAGAACAAGACATGTGGGACCATTTTCCGCTATGGTGCACGAAAGCAGCCTAGTGTTGAAGCTGTCAAAATCATCACTGGCTCTGATCTGCAGGTCTACTCAGTTCGGCAGAGAGACCGCGGCCCTGATTACCGATGCTTTGTGGAGCTAGGTGTTTCAGAGACGACAATCCAGACCGTAGATGGGACGATCATCACTCAGCTGAGCTCTGGACGGTGTTATGTCCCCTCCTGCTTGAAAGCTGCCACCCAAGATGTTGTGGAAAACCAGTGCCAGCATATCAAGCTGGCAGTGAACTGCCAGGCGGAGGCCACCCCTCTGACTCTGAAGAGTTCAGTCCTGAACGCCATGCAAGCCTCCCCAGAAACCAAACAGACCATCTGGCAACTGGCCACAGAACCCACGGGTCCTCTGGTACAGAGGATCACCAAAAACATCCTGGTGGTGAAATGCAAGGCAAGCCAGAAGCATAGTTTGGGGTATTTGCATACATCTTTTGTGCAGAAAATCAATGCCAAAAGCTTGCCTGAGCGTCGCTTCTTCTGCTCCTGCCAGTCTCTGAAATCGCACAAGTCGAGTGCTTGTAAGGATGATGCAGCCCAGAGATGCATTCATTTCTTTGCTTGTATTTGTGCCTTTGCCAGTGACGAGACATTGGCTCAGGAATTCTCAGACTTCCTAAATTTTGATTCCAGCGGTAGGTGGTATTATTGACACAGTTACTATTTTTCTAAAATGGCAATGAAAGGGTTCCTCTGATGCTTTGGAGATGGTCCTAGCAACCTTCAAAAACAGTTGCTAGATGATTTAGATGAAAAGTATTCTTTCATTTTTTTTTTTTTGGTTATTCATTTTTTAAGCATTCTTTCTTTTAATTCCAATCAGCACATTTGCATTAAGGTTGGCTGGTTGATTGATTTGTGGTTGGATTGTTGAAATTAAAGATCAAGGGGCCAGGGATTTAGCTCAGTGGTTCCACCACCTACCTTGCAAGCACAAGGTCCCAAGTTTGATCCCTGGTACCAAAAAAGAAAAGAAAAGAAATTAAAGATCAAGAGACTTGGGCATTTTTATTGAGTTAATGAATATAGCTAAGTTAGCTTTACTTCAATTTTGTTGTTGTTCCACAGATGGCCTATATTAACAAAAACAAAGAACAAAAAAAAAATCCCTTTGAGTTTTGGCTTATTTCTTATCTCTGAGGATGAGGAAAACTAGCATCTTGCTCAAAAGACCTTAAAGGTTTCTTCATTAAGTCTTGTTTTCATTGACATATTTTTGTCTTGTGGACACCTTTTTTGGGGAGTAGGTGGTGGTCCTGGAGACTGAACCCAGAACCTTCACACTGTTACAATCTCAGCCTTTTGATTTGTTTTGTTTTGGTTTTTATTTTGAGACAGGCTCTTGCTAAGTTGCCCAAGTTGAGCTCAAATTTGCCATCCTCCTGCCTCACCCTCCACAGTGCTAGGATTATTTTTGTCCTTAGGGATTTTGTTTTTGTTTTTGGTGCTGGTGATTGAACTCAGAACCTTGCATTTTCAAGGTTTTTTAAAAAAATTAATTCATTAATTTTTTTTTTTTTT